TATATAAAAATATATATATATTCAATTTCCTACTTAATCCAAATCAGAAAAAAAGTTTTGGTTTCAGATGGATTTTATTTTTTATGTAATCAAAGCAATAATCAACATTTGCTATTGCCTAAATATAATAATTACATTATTTGTTGTCTTCTTGTATTTTATTGTGACCTCTCCCCTCAGTGTATTGGGGGCTCTCATTTTTGCCTCCTTCTAAAATGCTAGTTGAAGGGCTCTCCCTGTCCTTAATACTAAATCACTGACTGGGAACAAGTTTTTAGAAAGCAAGGTCAGTAAAGTCATTTAGGCCGGCACCTTACTAAAAGGCTATTAGATACTAGTATTGTGTTCCATTAGATAAAGGTGACTTTGTGAATGGTTCATGATTGCTATGCAAAGGTTATTTGGATGTATGAATAATGTTCGGTTCTATCACAGTTGAACACTGTAAAATATTTATCAGAAACAGAATTAACCCCATATGACATGTCATATACAAATGGATATTGTGGATATCAACTTCGAATTTCACAGAAAACCTTTATTTAATTCAATTAAAGTTTATTATTTTTAACAAATAAGATGTTCAATATATGCTGTAAAATAGGAGACTGTAAGTAAATAGTTGTAAAATCTATAGATGATGATAAACTATATAGCATTACCCAAAATGAAGCAAAACTTTACATTATTTAATGCTTAGCTGATAACCAGTATTTACCATGTTTTCTAGGTCCGGGTTTTTACCTTTTCTGTTGGACAGCATAATTATGATAAGGGACCTATACAATGGATGGCTTGTGAAAACAAAGGTACAGTAAAGAAAACTGTATGTCTAAGGGTGACCACTGACCAGTAGTAGGTTCTTGCTATGTAAGATCTGATTAAGATTCTAACATGGTTATTCACAAAAGGGCGAAGAGTTTGGAGAAGGCAAGAGAAGTGAACAATTTAGGACAACATAGCTGAACTGGAAAGTGAGCTGAATTGGAGAATGTTTCTAAATCATCTGTTTTGGCCCAGATTGTTCACTTCTCCTGCCTTCTCCAAACTCTTCACCCTTTTGTGAATAACCTTGTAAATCTTTGAATTACATGTGGTTATAAAATTGTACTTGTGCAAATAATTTTTGGATCCTACCCTACACTATATAGTTTAGATTAGGGAAGCCAAAAGGTGAAAACAGTGACATTTGCATTTGTATTTCTTACTAAGTTAGTGTTCAGTTGGTACAAGTCTGGCTTTACTCATATTGAAATGAAACAATAATAGGGGTCTTTTGGAATCTGGAAGTAAATCATTATGCTTACCTGTTCTCTTTTACATTCAGGAGCAAAGACAAATGTTCTAAACTCTGACCTGCTCCTTTTTTCTGTAAATATAATATTGCCAAGCTGACTCCAGTGTAAGCTTGGCATTAATTGTACTATAATCGAACTGGCTTTTTGTTTATATTTAACTTACCTATAAATGCACAATATGGTTTTAGTTAAAGTAGAATCATGGTAAATTGCAATTAACAAAAAGTGAAGCAATAGCATACTGTAAACTGTATATAAAAACTTGTTATCCTAGAGTTTATCTTTAAACAGTTTCCTATTTAATTACAATTTTATTATCCTACAGCCTAGAACTCATTTTGCTGGCAGGGCTGTGAATTATATGAATTTACTTAAATTTTCTAGATATGACCCTTATCTAAGTCAATATATTAAATGTTTGGTAAACATGCAACACACAATATTTTACAGTAGTTTGTCTTTACTGAACAAATAGCATAAACATTCAAGGTCCTTTATGGGAAACGTATGTTACCTATATTATAATACAATTTTGAAAAGAAGGTACATGATGTTTGTGTTGAGATGAGACTAGGATTAGGTGTTTTAAGGTTCTTTGCCCTATAAAGCAGGGGCACAAAGTTTGGGGCCTTAGCAGATGACTAGTGGAGATAATAAATATAAAAGTGGACAGTGCCATAAAAGATTTTCTAAGAGTCTGGAAGTTCACTGCTGTGCAATAAGACAAATACTCTACAAATGGAGGAAATTCAGTGCTGTTGAGACTCTCTCTAGTGGGAGTGGTCATCTTGTAATGGCAACTGTGTGCAGTGCTGAGGGATGTAAAAAGGAACTGTAGAAATCTCTAGGGACACCACAGTGAAATTTGTTGCTCTCCAAAAAATGTTGCACATCTTAAGCTTGGAAGCTTGCCTACATGAACCAAAATGGGTCTGAAATGATTCTCTGTAAAAAGATGAGAAAAATGCAGAAATTGGCAGAAATGCAGTACTATCTTTATAGGCATGATGCACCAAATCCACATTCTATAAAGTGTGGTGACGGGAGTATCATGGTTTGGGCTTGCTTTGTTGACTTAGGGTCTGGACAACTTGTTATAATAAAAAAAGAAGGAATTCAAAACTGTCTTGTTTAAATAAACTACAGAGTAAATCAACAACATAATGGCTTAACAAAATTAATTTTCTGGATGACCAAGTCATAGATCAGATTTTAACCAAAATTAGATGATTTGGCTGGACCCTAAGAAAGCTTTTCACATAAGGAATCCCAGAGTGATCAACAGTTACAGAACACATTTCCTAAAATAGGGTTTATATACCTTACTTAGTGTGGACTATAAATGCACAAAACAGAGTGTTCAAGTCAAAAAATAATGTGTGTGTATGTAAAGTTAAAGCCTATCTCCAAGGGAAAAAAATCCCTTGCAGTGGAGTTGTCCCTGCATTGCAAGGGTTAAATGCACTATCTAGGGTACCTAGGAAAAGGACTTTTAATTACCTGATCCCCACTTCCGCAGGCTCCCCCAGTCTACAACACTGGAATCTGCAACTTCTTCCACCCTACACTCTGCCAGGTGGAGACCCACTGATGTCATCAAGTACAATGAAGGACCCAAAGCCTTTCATTATACGTGAGGATGCTGAGGGACGGTAATGTAGGGGAAACAAGGAGTGCACCAGTAGAGCTGGGATCAGGTAAGTAAAACTGCTTTAACCAGGTAACCTAGACCTAAATGAGCATTAAAGCCTTGCAGTGCAGGGAAAGCCACACTGCAAATTGAGTTTTCTCACAGAGATGGGCTTAAACTTAAGTAGATTGATTTTGTTTTTATTTTAAAAACACTTCATTCAGAAATCTATGTAATTCTAAAGCTTTTGAAAACTTTTTCATACAAGTACACAAAGGAAATGAGAAAAATACAAATATTATTTTAACCCTTTCACTGCCTTAGCCATGAGTTCATATCGCAGCTGGGAGTATATTTAAACTCCCTTAGCCAAAAGCCTGCTTTTAGGTAAAAGTGATTTGTGAGGCTTTACAGCCCCCCACAGGTGGTGCCTCCTGCCCGTTCTGTGCTTGATCAGTTTTACTGAGGTTAGTAGGTGACATTAGGAGTCTAATAGACCCCTAATGTCTCCTTGAAGAGGACTCGTCAGACGTGTAGTACTAGTACTGTAGTAGTAGTTTTATTAAATAAAAATGTTTAAAAAAAATAAAATGAAAAAAGTAATGTCCGATCAACATCAGCGTCCAATGAGATTTGAAAATTACAGTCACATGGTTGAAAATAAGGATGCTTATCCTTGTGTTAAAACTTTGTGAACTGGGCCTATAGTAGAGCATAGGTGTCTTAAATTTCAGGGTAAAACAGCCATATTGGCTGACAGTACTAGCTACACAAAACAACTATTAATATATAACTATTAAACAAGTGCAGCCCATAATATGTCCAAAGGGCCAAACAATGGCTTTGTTTTTGCTAAGGCAACCCCAGGGGTGTTTCCATCGCAGCCTACACCCACAAGAAGTGAGTTTGATGCTGCTTTCCAACATTTGAAGATGAGCAGTGCTGGCCCTTGCAGCAATACGTCTGTAGGGAATAGCACCGGACATAAGGTAAGAATTGCAGCAAAAGCTTTTTTTACCTTTTAAAGATGCCAGGCAGCATCCTAAAAAGTAAAAATCAAATACAAAATTAACTTCCGCTGTTGCTGCTGTATACTCCTTATAGTGGTAAACAAAATCTCCTGGTGTTGTTTTTGCACATTAATTATTATATTTTGTTATTAGAGGTAGTTAATAAATAATAAAACATCCTACCAAAAAGGGTAAAAAACAGCAACTTTTACATTTATATCACCTGTTGGATGTTTGTGTTGATGTCCCTTTAAAGAGGAACTCCAGGAATCTATAACATTAACCCTTGTGTTAGAATGTTCAGAATGTATTATATTTTTGTGACATTTATGAATAGATGTCTTTGTAAATAAATCTATTCATCGTACTCTGCTGTGAAGTGAGTACGGATGTGAATCACTATTGTTTTTATTTCACCTGCTGACGTTCATATGAATGGCTTTGTTTACCTTCAAACCCACTCATACATTATGAATGTGTCTGTAGCAATCTGTTGTATGTGTCGGGAAATGCAGAGGAGCTGCCTGGCAGAGAGAATATGGCCGGTAGAAATATAACTGGGGAAGGGAAAAGGCAGGAGAAGAGCAATTTGACCGGGAAGAAAAGAACGGGAGAGGAGGAGTCAGATGTAAGAGTGATGCCCTGGAGCAGTGTGACTGATGGAAAGAAAGCTTGATGGGGAGAGAGGGTGTAAAGCAGAATGACAGAAAAATGGTGTGTGGTGGGAAAAGCAAACCTGCAATCTTTTGTTTCAAGGGTTTGCTTATTAAAAGGCAAGTTAGTTGGGGGTGATCTGTCATCACTCCGGAACTAACATGCCAGCAGGTTTGTTCACACTTATACAGTAGTGCTCATGTGTGTAAGTATTAATAACACTGTATTAAGACCTGCAGCACAATAGGCTGCATGTTGGGCACCAGGGAGATATGGAAATACCACTCTGTAAAGTTAACCAGGGTGCCCCGCATAAAATAAGCATCTACAGTGACTAAGGGGTCTATTCACTCAGCTGCCGTAGGCAGCCGAGTGAATAACTGACCCGAAGTGAAGTGAGCCGAACGCTGTTTGGCTATTCACTTCAGGCTTGTACGGCTGATTTCCGTGTATGGGCTGAAAACAGACGTACATCGGCTTGCTTCGTGTGGCTTTGTGTGCTCAGCATGTTCGGTCGACCCGAAGTGCAGAAGGAGTTCGACTCAGCCGATCCAACATCTAAGCGAACCTCCGGCAGGCTAATCGCTGCTGTTCGGCCTATTTTCATAGATGCCGAACAGCAGTAATTGAATAGCTGAATGCCGCCGAGCGGAATTCGGCTCGGCTATTCTGCTCAGTACCTATGTGGTACCGAGCAGAATAGAAATAGTTAAAAAAGTAGAAAACAAAATGGAAAGTGATTGGGCAGAGCTAGCAGTGACAGCAGTGACAGCTAGCTCCGCCCAACTGTTTTCTAGTGGCTGGGCGGTTCTGCTGCCGTCAGAATACATTTTTTTTAAACACCATAGGAATGCATAGCTAGATTCCTATTGGCTATTTCACTTTGCAATAGTCAATAACAAACTAGCAACTGCACCTGCCCTCTGCTGCTGTCAATCACTAAAAGGGGACCTGATGAGGAACTTCAGGTCCCCTCTGCTGATTGACAGCAGTAGTGGGCGGGTGCAATAGCTAGTTTGCTATTGCAAATTGAAATAGCCAATAGGAATGTAGGTTTAATAGGTTGGACTTGATGGACTTGTGTCTTTATTCAACCTCAAATACTATGTAATGTAGCTATGCATTTCTATGCTTTTTTTGTTTTTGTTTTTTATTCTGACAACAGGGCAAGGAAAGGTTTACTCTGCTCGATCGAGCAGAGTACAACTTTCCCGGAGAAAGTGTTTCTCTCCCGGGCGGCCGGGAGCCGCTATCTAATGTCTGGAGATCAGCGTCCTTGGTTACCTGGTAACCAAGGATGCTGATTTGTCTGTGCAAGTGGCCGGAGCCAGCCGTCATCTCACCCAGCAATCAGTAGCAGGCTGTCGGTCGGCCAGCTTCGGCTTTCGCCTCGGCTCAGTCGAGCCAAAGCATATGCCTTCGGCTCAACTGAGCCCCTCGGCCAACTTCGGGAGCTGTACGGGCTATAGAGAATAACCCGTACAGCAGCTCTTCGGTTCTACTGAACCGGAGGGTTCCTGGGGCCGAAGCTAGCCAAAGGATCAGCCAAAGCTACTGCTAGATCCTTCGGCAGCTTAGTGAATATACCCCTGAGTATTAAATTTAAAGTACTTAGGGTGGCCATACACTGTGCGGATTTTGGCCGGTTCTTGAGGAACTACGTGAAGATTTCGCCCTGCATCCCTCAATCAGCTGATCGAAGGAGCTGGTCGGAAACTATTCATATAGCTGACGGCCGGTGTCAGAATACAAAAGGAACAGTATGGATTCCTCGATCAATGCTCTCGTAGTGTTGATGGAGGAATCTACTCTATTTTTTTTGTTCAGCCTGTGGGGGAACTGAGAAAAATAGAGCAGTGTATGGCCAGCCTAACACACTAACAGCTTATAAAATGTAATATTCATGAAGATAAAAATGCCATGCAGTTACATTTAGCTTTTTCTTTCACCTCGTTCTTTAATTCTCTGTAATCTGATTGATAGTGATATGTTCGCCCCTCTCCTATGTATTTACAAATCTTCTTCTGATATCATAGTAACCAGCTGAACTCAACTTTCCCATCTAGTTTGGATTACTTGTCTATATTGAATTATAGACCAAACTGTTTTTTCAGTAAGAAATGAGAACTGTGTTTATATTCCGTGTAGATATCAGTGATTTTTTTTGCGAACATTAGACACTACCGATATTACCGCATCCCAGTGGGTAATGACTTAAGTTCTAAAGCTATTAGTTACTCTACTAAAGTAACTTATAGTGGTTTCCAATATTACAGATAAGATCAGGAATATACTATATATATATTTGTAAATTATTCAATTTAAAATGAGTCAAAATATATTGTAGTAGATCTGATCTAAATGTGAAATATAGGATGTTATGATTATTTTTGTTTAGGCATACCTTTTCTAAACAGTATTAGCTGGAAGGGTTATGATAATAAAAGAATAATATGAGTGTTTCTCACTCTTATTAGGTCACATACCAGAACTGCTAAATTATGTTTTCACTATGAGTACAAAAAAAAAAGGTCATAAATAAAGAGCTACTGTTTTCTAGTCTAGTCACCTTAGGTCACATGGTTGCTAGGTACAAATAATTACTGCAGTGAGTCTATACTAAACATAAAAAATATATACAGGGTTATTTACAAAAGGGTGAGAAGTTTGGAGAAGGCAGGAGAAGTGAACAACCTAGGACAACATAGCTGAACTGGAAAGTGAGCTGAATTGGAGAATTGTTCCAAATCAGCTATTTTGGCCTAGATTGTTCACTTCTCCTGTCTTCTCCAAACTCTTCACCCTTCTGTGAATAACCCTGATAGTTTCCATTCAAAGTGGACATATTGCCTATCAAAGTCCTACATCCATTAATAAATGCCTGTCCCATTCATATTTATAGAATAGTTTATTTTTGTATGCTTACTATAACAAAACTAATGTATGTAATTGTAGTTGCATATGAAGTTGATCTGATATCCCAAGGATTTAAAAATCTTTGTGTATAATGTTTTATTAAAATTAATTGTTTGGTAATTGATCATGATAAAATCAGTTCACAATGCACCCTAAATTAGTTTGTTCCACAAAGATACACCCAACTGGTCAACCTTAGTCTCCAAATGAAGTGCAAACAACACCCTTCCCCTATTGCATACCTACATTTCAAACATTTCAAGACCAATTAATCTACTGTTAGGAAAAACATGAAGTCTGAGGTGAGCGGTTTTTGTCATTATCTTCCAAAAGCACAATCAATCAGTCCTTTTTGAGTGGCATTTTTCCAACTGCTGCATATATGAGCCTGGTGGAATAAAGCAAGTTTAAATTGTTTTATTGTAGATACTGTTTTTCCTTAGCATGTACATTTTCTTTGCTGATGAAGGACAATGGGTTAACTTTGATCCCCCTGTCCTCAGCAATATGTACTCACACTTCATCCACCCAGCTGCTAGAAGCAAAGAAAATACAATTTTCTAGGGATGGGGTGGCAGGGGGGTTACATGGGGAGCAAAGATAATCTGTTTTGAATGCTGGCTTGGTGACCACTGAATAGCTGGCAGCAGTGCAGAATATGTTTGTAGCATATCAGTAAGTTACTAAAAAAAAGTATTTATGGAACCAAGCAGTCTAAATTATAAGTCATTTTATCAAAAATAAATATTTTAAAGTGTTTGCATGAAACACCTATGTAACCAATAGCAAACAATGAAATACTATTTATTTTTCTATTTCAGGAAGGGAACATAGTGATTCTTACTCCGTATAGCATTCACTTACTGTGTTATCATCCTATTTTAGGTTATTATTATGAGATTCCATCCATTGGAGCAATTCGTATTAACACACAGGTCAGTATTTTACATATTTATTATATGTTATTATTATTATTTAAGATGACCTTAGTGTAATCCTACCTGTACTAATGCATCAAACAGATTTTTTTTTCTTTATAATTAACATAAAACTGACCTTTTCTGAGTTGCAAAAAAATACCCTTTTCAGATGCTGTAAGGCACCAGCACTGGGATTAGCACTGTCTGTTATACAGCAGTAGAAGTTACCAATAGTACTTACAGTACAATGTTGTTCTATGGTCTCACTTTAACTTCTGTTTTCACATTCACTGCAATCTGAAGGTGACCACTATTTTTTTTTTTACACAGCATGGTTGGGTGTCTATAATACACCTGCAAGGTGGCATAGGGGAATTTTTTTTGGCATTGGCGTGAGGCACAAATGTGACATAGATAAAATGTTGATGTAACAGCAATGGTTTATTAGTATGTACCAAAGCCAAACTGTTAGGAATTATCTGACCTGTCTAAAAAGTGCATTCAATTCGGCACTGGTAGAGGCAATTCTGCAACTCCTAAATTGTTTTCTCATTCTGGGCAGTGAAGCTTAACCTATTTGGTTTAATTGGTTATAGAGAGAAATGCATTTTGAGATGGTCTATTCATTCTTAACATATTACCTTTACATTTTATGTCTACCCAAAATTGAATTTTCAGTAAAACGTGGATGCTGAAGTGCTGTGATAATGTTCCAAGGCACTTCCTCTCTGGTTAAGATCTCTTAGATTCTAGTGACAACCTCTAACCCCCCCCCCACACACACACACACACACACCCCCTTCATTTTAAGCTTCCTTCTTACATTCTAGTCATTAGCTCTTTCTGACAAAATATGTTGAAACTATGCTAGTTAAATAATTTAATGTAAAAAAAGATTTATTCTCTTATCAGTCCAGAAAAAAAAATAGTGATGGAAGTATGTCAACTGTATTAAGTCTTAAGAGAGCTTATAGTTTGAGTCTTCAAGAACTGTAATTAACCAGTGTGTGCTGTATCAACCTGATGCATACCCTTTACTAATATATCATTTTTTGGACAACATATTCTTTATTTCAACTTCTGGTATCACCCATAGTAAAATATTTTTTTCACAATGAATTAAAAAAAGGTGTACATTACAATAGAATAACATGTAATTTTGTGCAATACTAACATTAGCAAATATAGATAAAGGTTTTATCTGAATGATGTGACAAACGTAAAAGAATTTAGGAGGCAAGTTTTTGTATAATTTAAATCCAACAGTAGGCATAAGTATCTGTTTACAATTTGGAGGCTCCTGATACACTTTTAGTTAGTATTGCACAATTTGCCAGCTATAAATATCAAATACAATAGCAGAGAATTGGTTTTGTACAAATATTGTCTGTTATATGTCACATAAATATATATGAATGCTCATACATCATGCAGCATGCAATTTCTATCACATTTAACCTAAAGATACCTGCTATTTAGACTGTACTCAAGAAATATTTTCTTTTGCCGTATTTCTTAATAACAGGATAGAGAAAGTGTCCCTAACAAGCCATGATAGGTGCACATGTGTGTCCAATATAATAGGCTATTTAGAGTGTAAATAATGTTTTTGTAAATTTTAAACACAGCTGCCCAGTTTGACCTAAAGTTCTACTTGCTACATTAATTGTGAGCAGCTGCAGTAACAAACACTTCAACACTAGAAAGACTTCAATGGCTTTTTCAACTTTTTAATGGAACTACTAATCTGTTACATTAAAATATAACACTTACTGTTTCTTTAATGATAAACAGGAATTAATTAATGACAGTAATGCGTGTAGTGTATATAATACAAGGTCTGTCGAATTAAGTAGGTAAGTGCTTTGGTCAAGATGGTGCACAGCAAAAATATACGCAGCATTCCTTTTGTGATCATAAAGTTGGTCTAAATACGGTTGCCCAGTGTCATAAAAAATATAGTCCCTTTATTATACTAAATCTGCTCTACTTTAGGTTTTCATGGCCACTTGCTAAACTTCAGTACAAAGCTATCTTGGCCGGATATAACAATCCTGCAACTAAATTAAAGGGTTGGACTAGATTACCCATTTGACCTTGTGATATGCTGCCCAACACATGTTGGCTTCACTAAACAGGAAGTTTTACCAACAAAACATTGGGACCAATAAGAATATTAAATGTTAGACTGAAATGTAATGTTTATTGCACTGAATGTTTCTAGTATTTGCAAAAAGATTAATGTGAGAATAAGGGTAACTGTGAATATATAATACCAGTCACTTAAGCTCAACCTAGCATCTGATTTTTTAAAGTTAAATGTGTGCCAAATAAGTGTAATATGTACTGGTATATTTTACTTCTGAAAGAAAGGGCATAATGCCTTTCCCATAGAAGGCCAGTATCATCTTTGTTTAGTCATCAACAAGGATCAGCATCTAAAATTTCTGCCCAGAGATGACCCAATAATGAAATTATCATTCTGTGACCAGCTATTGCGCAGATCTATTGCAGTCTCAAACTGATTATCCCTACTGCCACCTCTGTGACCTACCCAAACTTTACAATTACCATAATGATTGCAGTGCAGTTTACCTGCCTTCGGTAAACCGAATAATTCTCCCAGTATGCTTCTCTCAGACAGTCACTTGCCCAGTGCTGAAGAACTGCTTTTTAAGGTTAAAAGGTACAATCTTAAAACAGTATTGTTTCTATGGCTTGTAATACATCAGATATGTATTCATACACACTTACTAAGTTACTTAAGTCTGCTTTAAACTTGAAAAATGTAATGCCTGCCTCTGGAATGTCTAAAAAATATAATTTAAATCTAAAATATATAATACTGGTCTTCAATATATGTGATTGTATAATTGCAAACCTTATGGTTGTTTCCCAGTGATAGCTGGGGAACACCCAATAGTCAATTTTAAGTTGCTTTCAGGTAAAGCAGGACCATCTGACCATTGTTTATTTAAGTGACTGAAGATCTCATGTCTACAAGCGAGGCACATACCCAATGACTAAGCACTATTGAGAAAGTATAAATTAGAAAGTTCAGAAAGCCTATATTGATAGTGCCTCACCTCCCCAGCCCCTCTACGTTGTAATATAATTGCAAGGTTGGCAATGCTCCAATAGTGTATTGAAAGCTTATAAGAACTTGTATTTAATCAGAATAAAAGCTTCTGAAGTATGAAAGGTGAATACAAAGCTACTGGCTAATTTCATTTGTATCACAGGTAATCATTTGCTCCCCTTCAGACCAGTGAAACCTCCATTAAAGACTACAGACAAAGAAAAATTGTGTATCACGATAGCAACTGACCTTAGTACTCCAGCCCTTTCTACAAGGGATGAGCATGAAATTTATCTGAACCTAGATTAGCTGTGGAATTTGTGGTTTTGTACTCAGCAAAATGTTGTGAATTCATCCTCTAATTTCACCTTGCAACATGTAGTTACAAAATAAAAACACTCATATCACTACTGCAAGGCATGCCTACACCTGTCAAACTCCCCATACTCCTTAGGCATATTCATATGTAAAGGATATAGGGTGTCTATTAACCCCTTCGTGACTGACGACGTACAGTGTACGTCGCCAGCATCGGGGCTGTTTAAACAGACTCCCGGCGACTTTTGCCGCCGGGAGTCTGTTTAAACTTGTAGAGCCGACTGTCGGCTTTACAACAGAAGCGATTCTGGCGACTTACCTGTCGCCAGATCGCTTCTGCGTCCCGAAGAAGGGGCCGCCCCCCCCCCCGGACACCCCCGCTGTGCTTCCCGGGCTCCGTTGCCCCTCCTACGGGCCCGGGACCGGCGATCTTTGTGTCCGCGGGGAGCTGGGGAGGAGGTCGACGAACTTCCGTTCATCGATCCCCTCCCCGTTCTATGGGACCGGGAGCGATGCAGATTGCATCACTTCCGGTCCCTGGGCTGTCAGTTCTGGGCTCCTGCAGCCCAGCTATAAGCTATTGAAGTGCGATCTGCACTTCAATAGCTTATTTCCAGTGTAAAGGTGACACTGAGGGTCTTTTGGACCCCCAGCATCACCTTAAAGAGGACCTGTCACCACCATCTGCTATTACATGGGGGGGCTTGCAAGCCCCCCCATGTGATAGCAGTCAAAGTAAAGTAAAAAAAAAAAAAAAAACAGTTTTTAAAATTAAAATGAAATAAAATAAATCTAATAATAATAAAAAAAAATTTTAAAAGTACCCCGCCCCCGCGAGCACGCGCGTCGCCACGTAAACACGCGTCGGGTGCGCCTACGCATGAAAACGACGAACGCGCTACACATGTTGGGTATCGCCGCGCACGCCGGAGTGAGAGCAATAATTCTAGGGCCAGTATTTTGGGGTATCTCTAAATTGATGACCTGTGGGGGCTTTTAAAGTGTCTTTTATTGACTTTTTGGGGTACTGCAGTTTTTCGCCGTTTCACGGTCGCACGCAATCTGTAAACTGGGCATGTTGGTATCGTTTTACTCGTTGTAACCTCATCTTTTATATTTCATTAAAAAAATGGGTAATTTGTTGTGTTTTGGGGCATTTAATTAAATTTGTCACTAAATTTTGGGGTTTAATAAGGAGTTGCGCTAATATTGCGCAACATAAAAAATTTTCAACTACCACCATTTTATTCTATAGGGTCTTGGCATTCAGAAAATATATAATGTTGGGGGGTTTTACGTCATTTTCAGGCCTAAAATGTGGAATATAACATGGGTGCAAAAATTGAAAAAAGGGCCTCAGTCATGAAGGGGTTAAACCTACTTTGTAGAATCTGCATTTGTGTAAAATGCTGCTCATTTCTGAGCTTGAACATTATACAACTTTTACATCAAAAAACAGTATGTTGATGTATTGGCAACATTTTTGAGACATTTGGTACCATGAATTAATATATATATAAAAGCTATAATCTATTTACAGTAAAATAGCTGTCTTTGTTTAAATAAAAATCTATCTTTATCCCTGAAATAATTTCTCTTTTTGACAGGAATATTTAGATGTCCTTGGAAGACCAATGGTTTTGGCGAGAGAAAAGGCAAAGCAAGTACAGTGGACTAATGTTTATTTGGATGCCTTGGTAAGAACTGAACACATTGTAGAAATGCAAAGAAAGTACATTTGATATATAAATAAAGATGCAACATGGCTTAATCATAGACCATATGTGAATGAAGAAATAGTTTATAATATCAGTTGTTAGCAATTATGAGCCTAACTATACCAGTACAGCTAGTACATAGGCCTTTTTCGTTCAATACATGCATATTGAAGTTTTAACAGGTTTGGAACAGTTTGACCAAGAGATGCGGTATATAGAAATATGCAGATGAAACAGGTTCAAGTACATAAAGAAAAATGTGCAAAATTTACCATAATAACACAATAACAGTATTATTGTTTACCTTTAAATTGACCATAAGATTACAGGGTCTAAGGATCATATAATGTAATTTATGAAACTCGGAGCCTTTAACTTTGCGGAAAACCAATTAGGACCCAGAATAGACTAACCAAACAACGAAAGCATGCAAACACTGTATAGGCTGGGTAAAGTAGAGGATGTCTTGGGGCTTCGAGAAGGAATGGTCTAAACCAGGGCTCAAAATTTCAAGTCCTAAGCTACTAGCCAGGCCTTAAAAGTTACTCGCCACCAGTTGCCCCACCCAACCCCTACCCTGCCCCGATCTTAACTCCGCCAGGTCAGCGGTGTGAGGCAGAGTACAAAGATCACTAACAACGCACAGTACAGAAGTCAGTGGTGCAATGCAGAATACAGAGGCCAGCTTTGTGACACGCAGTACACCGGTCAGTAATGTGACGCGCAGTACACCGGTCAGTAATGTGACGCGCAGTAAACCGGTCAGTAATGTGACGCGCAGTACACCGGTCAGTATTGTGACGCACAGTACACCGGTCAGTATTGTGACGCGCAGTACACCGGTCAGTAATGTGACACGCAGTACTTCGGTCAGTAATGTGACGCGCAGTACACTGGTCAGAAATGTGACGCACAGTACAGAGGTCAGTACACAGTGCAGAGGTCAGCGGTCAGTATGTAACGCAGTGCAGAGGTCACAAAGAAAGTACAGGGACTTACAGTTGCTTTGACCTCTTCTTCTCCTGGTGATGGTGGGGGGAGCAGCAAGGTTTCCTACACGTCCAGCCGGCTCCAGGTGCTCTCTCTCCCGTGCAGCAGAAGCCGGCCAATTGCAATTCGGCAGTCTTCCTCTCCCACCAATGGTAGCTGAGGTGGGTGAAGAAACTGCCATGGCCGCCGAGGAGCCCAATTGAAGCGGGCACAGACGATGGCAGTCGAGCTTCTTGTTCTCTTCTCCCTGCCACCGCCGCAGTCCTAAAGTCAGATCAGTCATAAAGAGGCCCCCCTCCCAGTCCACATCTTTTGGATTTTATTAATCTGAGTTGCCCCACTCAGTATGCCCGTCGCTTGGGGCCCTATTTAGTGGGGCACTAAGATGAAAAACGTGCTGGATTAGTCTGACCCAGGGGTGGACTGGGCCATGGGGCAGGGTGGCAATTGCCCTCCAAGCCTCTCTGATACCTTTGCAAACGCCCCCCACTGCCGCCGTAAGCATTTAATCTCTCCCCTCTCGGCCGCTCTGCTGCTGCAGCGGCCGAGAGGGGAGAGATGAAGTGCTTGTGGAGGCGGGGGGCATTTGTAAAGGTATCAGAGAGGCCTGGGGGGCAATTGCCACCTTTCTGCGCTCCCTCTCTCTCCTCCCGGCCGCTGCAGCTTCAGCTCTACGAAGCAGGCACTGAGAGAGGCAGCTCTGATCACACATGTCAGTGCTCCCTCTCTCTCCTCCCGAACCGACCTGTAGCTGCAGCGGCCGAGAAGGAGAGAGGGGGGCAGGGTGGCCTCTCTGATACCTTTGCAGCACCCGAGAAGAAAAGAGAACAGGAGCAAGCAATCGCTGCGGCGGTAGTGTCCCATCCCTGGTCCCGCCGGCAACGCATCCCCTCGATGACATTCCACATTCCACTCGCCCCTACACAATTTTCACTCACCAATTGCGAGGGGGCGAGTGGAAAATTTTAGGCCTGGTCTAAACTATAAGTACATAACCTTATAAGTTACACTATACAAAATAAATAAATACAATTGTATAAAATGTAATATTCCTTAGTACAATGGTCACTTTACTATACTATAATATACTGTACTTTATTATCATGTACTATGTAATCCTTTTGTGAAACCTCTATATAAAAAACACACACATATATATAGTGGAAGTGGAAAGTGGTAATATTACAACTATAGATAATATAAATAATAACAGTGAAATTACATTATGCCAAGACCTTTCCAGTCCCTTTGTTTTCTGCTGAATCCTTTTTCTGGATGTTGGTAATGTTTTCAAGCATTTCTGATGTAAGATAGAGTCATGTCTTATCTTTCTGGTTCTTGTAATGTAAACATGTGCCGGACATCCTAGTATTTGAAAGCATTACGAAAGTATGTATTGTGCTGTTCCTCTGCTCATTTCTAGCTAAATCTAATGTCTCACTACAAACAGATGTATCTTTTGCATGTTTCCAAATCTTCATAGACTTACAGTAAAGTGTCACAGCATGTGCATCTGACACAGGATACAGCACAGAAAATGCTTAATGGAACAATTTGTTATATCTCTTCCCCTTTAACTGACCAGAAGTTCATTGCCCAGACCTTTTCAACAATCGTTTTCTTACTGGAACCCTGGAGGATGTTATGTTGAGCTTTATTTGTATTACAGCAATCCATTAAGTGATACTAAGTGTGCAAGAAGAGACTACTGTTTAAAATTTCTGTAGCCAATGTAGGTACATTGTATATATCCATATTAAAGATTCCGGTTTTAGATGTCTCCTTAGGCCACTGAACAGTAATTACATTAAAGCAATTTTTGTTTTTTAATTTCCCCTTTTTTAACTTTTGACACTTATTACACTTTTTTTCTGGATACTGGTGTTTATTTATTAAAAATATGCTAAAATCTTTAAAGGCAAAAATATAAAAATGTATTGTTTGAACTATATCTGCTCGCATATGTCTCCACATCCTTTTAAATAATGTATTTATAAGCATTTATGATATAGATACAGACACGTGATGTGAGGCTAATACCGTTCCAACTTTTTTCAGGATGGTGTTATGTGCTAAAAAACAATAAGAATAAGGGTGCAATTCATAACATCCTGGTGTTAACGTATTTAAATTAGCAAGTACTGGTACATACTGGTAGCATACCGAACTTTCCCACCGCAAACACTTATCATACAAGCCATACTACATAATATTTGTAACTGTTGTTGAAGCAGCAGCAGCCAACTAATTAATACCATTTAGACAATATTTTGGGACAGCATGTTTTATTTGTTAGTGGTGGTGATGTGCAGTTTTTTTAAAGTAATTTGATTGGTCCCATACTTAAAAGGTGCTAATCAACAAAAATGTTATGTGAATGTGCAGATGTCAGCCACAATGTCTAACCTGTTATAACAATGTCATTGTTCCAGTTTTCTTCAAAAATTTGGCTTAATCCTGTCTAAAAATAAACTAACAATTTAAAGCACATCTAAAAATAAAAATATAATAAATTGCCTTTTACTGGTCCTTAGACGTGGTGGTGGTAATAGCTCATACAGCTGCCCTTCGGCTCTACTGAATCGAAGGGGTCCTATGGCCGAAGCTAGCTGGAGGATCAGCCGAAGCTACAGCTAGATCCTTCGGCTGCTTCGTGAATAGACCCCCTAGTGTATTGGTGACTAGGGATGAGCTTCGCGTTCGAGTCGAACCTATGTTCGACTCGAACATAGCATGTTCGAGCGTTCGCCGAACATTATGTGATGTCCGCGGTCTGTTCGACCGCGGCACATCCCACAATGCACTGCGCCGTCCGAAGCGGCAATTGGCTACAGTCCTGCACCTGATTGTACCCCCATAGACTTGCATTGAGTTCTAAGTTCGAGTTAGAACTTTTTCCATGTTCGAAAGTTCGAGTTAGAACCGAACACGGGGTGTTCGGCTCATCACTATTGGTGACATCCTGATCCCTGAAAGCTTCCTCAGGAGTATGCCTGTGGTGGGGAAAAAGAATGCCTGGAATTCTAATGTTCACTGGGTCCTGCCTGTGCACTCTCTGGTGTTTGGAACTGCAGGATGCTCTTCAGAGTGATTGGTGACTATGGTAAGTCTAGGGCTTGACTTGTATAAGCATAGCAAATTTTTCACTTACTATATTTTCTGCTCTTACCCTAAAAGTGTTAATGCATTGGAGAGTTAAGAAATTGATCTGTTATGCAGTACGTTCACAGCAGCATGTGCACCTACACTACCTCATCCTGTGTGAGGTAGTTTCCCACCACTGCTTTCCTTCCAAGGGTCGGTGGTGTACCTCAGGTTGTATTTGCTGCTGCCTAACAGTGACATGGTCACCTCCAGGCTTATGACCTCTCCTGCTTCCAAAGCTGGTTTGTGAGTACCTGAGGTGCTACTTGGTGTATATTTTTGCCTTAGTTGTAAAACAGTATGTCAAATCCTGAGCACAAAGGGAACAATCCCATGGGCCTTTCCAGCTCATGGTTCTCTAATGTCCTTGCACAGCCTGTAGTGTTCCTCCTAGAGGACCTGACACCTTTAGCTTGGATTGTTGTCCCTTGCTTGAGTCTATACACTCTGTGGAGACTCCCCTAGCAACCTTAGGTGAGGCTCCCTCCTCTGCATTATCCAGGTAGGAATTTTCTACAGCTACGCTAGATTTTCTAACTAAAACCATGTCATGACAGCTGACTCTGAACACAGGTGCTATTCACATACTTCTATGGCCTGTCCTCCAGAATCTGTCTATGACATCCCTGCATCAGCCTCTGCTCCTTTAGCTGTGGATGCTAAGGAGCCTCAGTATTCCTTTTTGTTTGTGCCTGAGGAGCATGAGCATTTTGGGCTTAATGGTAGCCTCTTTTGAGGCAGTCCAGTTTGCCCGGTTCTGCTTCAAACCATTGCAACTCAACATTCTGGCTGTGTGGAACAGTCATTGGACCTACCAATGTACCTGACACCCAAGACAAAGTTGGCTGTGGCCTAGTGGCTTACCAATGCAGTTCTAGAGTTGAAGTCCTTCTTTCCATTATCATGGTAAATACTCCTGACAGATGCCTGCCTCATTGGCTGGGAGTAGTCTTAGACACCCTGACTGTGCAGGGGATTAGTTTCTTGAAAGACGCTTGTCTCCCTATTAACATTCTGGAGCGCCAGGAAACAAACTCTGTCTGGGCAGTACTTCACATTTTATCCTTGTCTATTATTCACATTACATTGGTAAGCAAACTGGCTCAGTTCACCAACATCCTCAGCCAGGAGGAATGGTTCCTACACCCAAAAGTGTTTCAGCACCTATGTCACAAGTGGGGGATGCTGGATGTGGAGCTCTTGGCCTCCAGGTTCAACAACAAACTTATCAGGTTTTTCTCCAGGTGCAGAGATCCAAGAGCAGATGCAGTGGATGCTCTGTTTTCTCTATAGGATCAGTACAGCTTGATCTAGAACCTTCCCTTCTCTGAAGTTCATCTGCCCTGCAGAATCAAGATGGTGGCACTAAACTGGCCCAGGCAGATGTTGTACTAAGACCTCATCAAACTTCTGTCAGACACCCTGCTGCACAATCACTGGCTTTGGCATGGCTGTTAAACTCAAGGTCCTAAGAGATATGGGCCTTCTTAATTTGGTCATTCCTATGTTCCTAGAAGCTAGAAAGTTTGCTTAATGAAAGGTCTACCATTCCATATGGAAAGCATGCTTTGCCTGGTGCGAGGAAAATTAACTTTCATTCAGGAAATACCCTGTGAGATGAATCCTCACCTTCAAGGAACCATCAAGGGTTATCATGGAAAAAATATCAGCTTTTGCAATCTTTTTTCAAAGACTTACTGCTTCTCATCACTTAGTAAAAGCCTTTGTACAATGTGTTTTTACAACTGCAATCAACAGTATGCCTGGTGTAACCAGCTTCTAATATGTTCCTCACGAGTGCCGCATAAGAATGACCGCATCTTCGGCCATTTATATGCTATCCATGAATGCTGCACGCCGTAGGCCCACCCCCAAAGGGGCGGAGCCACGACACGCAGCATGGTTCACACTTTGAACCAATCAGGAATATTCCCCATCAACTCAAACTCACAAGTTGGCCTTTCTCAGTGCCATCACCTCTGCTAGGTGAGTGTCTGAGTTAGCAACCTTATCTTGTAAAGAACCCTTTCTTGTTCTTCACAAAGGTAATGTTGTCTTGAGGCCTAGAGCCTCCTATCTCCTTAGGTGGCTTCTACTTTTCAACTTAATCAAGACATTGTACTTCCAGCCCTCTCTCTGAATTCTGTACACCCTAAGATGTCCCTCCATTGTTTAGATGCGCTTCAAACTATCTGTGTTTACTTCTCAGCTATATCTCCCTTTAGGTAGAGTGACTCTCTTTTTGTCATCCCTGAAGGTACCCATAAAGGACAACCTGCTTCTTGCTTCACCATCTCTGTATAGCTTCGGTAGATCATCATACATGCCTATTGGCTTAAGAATTAGGTTCCATCATTTCCACTCAAGATGCTCTCTGCTAGTCTGTAAGTGCTTCCTGGGCTACATTTGGACACCAAGCATCTGTTAGCACCTTGTCTTCTGTTCACACATTCTCTAAGCTTTACCAGGTACACATTCTGGTAATGCAAGCTTTGGGCATACGGTCCTGCAGCCAGCTCTCTGAGATCCAGGCAGTCACTAGAGTTTCTTATGGGCTAGTTAGCATTGTTGTTTGCTGTGTTGACCACCTTTCAGTTGGACTGCTTTTGGACATCCCAGTGGTGTCAGATTCTCCTGATCCTGTGTTCCTTGGTAAACAGTTAAAAAAACAGTATTTATGTACTCACCATAAATTCAATTTCTTGACCTTCAAGGGACACAGGTCCCATCCCTCTGTATTTATGATCTACTACTAATACTGCTTTTCTAATAACTGAAGAATCATGGGAGTCGGATGGGTTATACTTGGCTGGCTAACAGCTTTTTTGTTTGCCAGTGTAAATAAGCCATGTGTGTGTAAATACATGTATGTAAGATAGATGTAAGCCATTTGGTCCATTCATAAATCTCCAAGACCAGATGGCTTACATCTGGGAGTCCTCTAATAACTTAGCCAGGTTATAGCCAGACCATTGTTCCTAATTTTTAGGACACATTTACAACTAGAATTGTACCTGCTGATTGGCACAAATCAAATGTGGTGCCAATATTCAAAGTTTCACGATGTATACCGGGTAAATACAGGCCAATCAGTCTGATATCAATAGTATGCAAAGCATTTAAGGGAATGGTAAAGGACTATATTTAAAATTTTGCATTTTCTTGTCAGACCAACCTTTTGATATTTTATGAGAAAGAGAGTAATACGGTGAGCATAGGAATCCCAGTAGATGTAGTTTTTTTGGACTTTGCTAAGGCCATTAAAGAAACTGAATGCACATGGGTAGAAAACTGGTTGCAGGAACATATGATTGGAGTGCCCCAGGGTTAATAACATCTTCATTGCCAGGTTTTGGAGATCTTTGCATTGCACATAGGTACAGCACTAATGTATGGGAGAGCATTTTTTATGCTGTATGTGTACATCTGAGGAGATGTCCCTTTACTTCCTGTTCTGGAAATGCAACAGGAAATCTCTCCAAATTGAACAGAATTTCCATCTCAGTATGGTGTCATAGGAACAGGTGTTCCCATTTGAAGATTTTCCCTCACCTACTGCTCTGATGACAACTCGTAATTTCTGGATTTCCACTGGTTGTCTCAGTGCCACTGACCACAGGACAAAATGAGGGGAGAAGCTTTCCAGGATCTAACCCTTTCCTAGTCTATCCAACTCTACTCTATCCTACCTTATTAAAATTAAAAAAATTATTTTACATAAGCTTTACAAAAAATAGTACAATTCTTCTATTATTCATTCATTCTAAACACAAGATAGTTAGATCTATGTAGATAATTTATAGACTTCTTCACTGCAGAATTTGTCTAAACTTTCCTACAGTACAATACAGTGGCTAAGAAAGTAACACATTTTCTTTGATCTGCAAGGTCTACTTTTGTGTGCTTCTGTTGCTTTAACCCTTTCCCTGCCAATGATGTAAGACATATATGGCGCAACACAACCGTTTTTAGCTGGCCACCTCAGTATGCCTTATGTTGCTGGCTTTCACCCTTCTGCTATAAGCTCATGGTCGGTTTAGTAGCACCATCTTTTTATTCTACTGGTCCTATCCTTTCAGGAAATGTGTGGTTTGGAAGTATTTTACAAACTCTAAAAGCAGCAGTTAAAAATAAAAAAAGTTCAAAAATGGTTGGCAAGCTGAGTTTAAAAGTGTAACTCAAGGCAGCAAAAGGGTTAAACAAGCCAGATTGAGCAGGGTAGAAGGGTCTGACCTGCTTATGAGGTCTGTTCAGGTGGGCATGAATATGAGCTTGCCATCAACCTCCTAAGTAATTCGCCTCAAAGGGACACTGCATGCAAAAGCATAGACAAACCAATTATTCTTAATGCTTACTTGCAGTGTTTTTCTTCTCCATAAACTGTTTTTCTATGCACTTGCAATAGGCTTTTGAACTTGCAAGGGAATTCCTCAACTTCAGAAAGAATCGATTTCCTATCACAGCCAAAGGTTCCCCTCCCTCCTTGCACATGATAGCCCATTCCTCTTCTGAGTATGTATAGTTACTGCCTGGGCTTGCCCAGCTGCTCCTCACCTCTGTACAGAAACGTTTATGTAGCTTCTGGTGGATGAGTGAAGGAGAATGCTAGACAGTGTCACTTGAGTGACAGCTCTGAGTCTGTTGGGATTGCTTACATCACATTCGAGTTGGCAGCATCCAGCAGCAGTCTGTGGCCTTCTTGAAGATTGCACAAGAAGCTTCTATTATAATAAAGTGTACACTGCACTGCAAGGTCCCAGAGGGAATGCAAAGTCAGATAGCCTTGCTATGCACTAAGAAAAGGCAGCAACATATGGGGCAACCCTTCAAAAATACAACACATACAAAAACTGTAAAAAAAAAAAATTATAAACCTAAAAGTCATACATAGGAATTTATAAACTTATATATATTATGTTTGGTATGTGTTTTATTTACTTAGCAAGCTAATTTTTCACAAATGGTTGATAATTCCCGTTGGTGCTTTGTCTTCATTGACAACTGAGTAATGTAGGAATTAATGTCTAGAATGAGTAGATGTACTGTGTTTGTGTGCATTTCCTCTGGGTGCTCTTATTTCTTCCCACTTCCCATTGTAGGGATATTAGATTGTTAGTTCCTTTGGGGTCAGGAGCTGTTGTGAATGGATCCTTGTAAAGTTCAGCCTAATAAATGCTGTAAATAAATAAATACTAAAGATTAATATTTTATGTAGAAATTAATTAATTTAAACTAACTGTAACTGATGTATGTCCTTGTTTCTGTTTGCAGGAGTTGGGCCTTGTCATCACTGGTACCTTGCCTGTTTTTAATTTGACAGGGGACCGTAAGGAAAATAAAGTAAGTTGATAATATAGTGTTTATGTGAAATATTGGTCTCATATCCTAACAAGTGTTAAAAGACCTGTATATCTAGTATTTTTATAGCTTACTTATGTTTTTCCAAAAATATAATTAGTTACCCATTGATATAACTTTTGTCACAGAAGCTGTCTAGTAATATGTTAATGTCTGTAATATAATATTACTCCCTGCTCTGTATAATGCTGGCAGACTGACTACTATAATTCATTTTCTATGATAAATGCAGGTGGAATATCTGCTAAGAAAATATGTTTGCAATTTCCTTCTAGGATAAATCTCTACGCTAAGCACATCATCATTTCAATGCGGCATAACCCTTCTACTTTATAACTTGCTGATGACATTATATTCCAGAGAAGGGTCATTAATAACAATAAGCATTTTAAGCTCATCTGTGCCAGTTGAGAGGCATTCACTTTTATTATCCATAGCTCACAAGTGCTGTATTTATAGTTTATTGCAAGCACATTCATGGAAGTGAAGACAAGATGATATGTGATCTACCTGAAAAAACAATAAAGGGACTTTAGATCACCACCCACTTGGATATGTTCATAAAGTACTAAGCGTTTATTTGACTACGGCAAACATAAAACATTTGAATACATATAATACAAATCTGACAAAAGGAAACTCACTATATCCCAAATGCAAATAAATAATTAGGATAATATAATAGCGTATTACTGCTTCTTGTACAATAGATGCGTTATGCAGGGTTTAGGCTGGCCATAATCATGGAAGGTAGGGTATGAAAACGAAATAGACCTTTAGATCATGAAGCTGAAGAGATAGGCCTTACACAGCATCTGACTGTTATGTATGGTTTGAAGATGTGCAGGAAAATAATGAATACTGAAACTGAGTGCACAATTTTAGAAAATTGGTAGGTGCATCAGGCCCACTGTCCATCTCAGACTTACAGGGTTATTCACAAAGGTGTGAAGAGTTTGGAGAAGACAGGAGAAGTGAACAATCTAGGCCAAATAGCTGATTTGGAAAAATTCTCCAAATCAGCTCACTTTTCAGTTCGGCTATGTTGTCCTAGATTGCTAACTTCTCTTGCCTTCGGCAAACGCTTCACCCTTTTGTGAATGACCCTGTTAAAGATAAGTTTGAGTGTTTACAGCTGACATGAAAAATACCCGTTCTTTCATCCTAAGTCCCATTCTAAAGGTGTAAATGAATACTTGCTGCTGCAAGAGAGATCGTCTGAGAGCTTCACTCTGCTGCCTGCAATGTGGATCCTGGACCCTGCCTAGTCCTAGTACAACAGATCTATATCATGCAAACAGGTCCATGACAGCACGTTAGCACTTAGCAAGTAAAACCCTTTAAGCCTTTTTTGTATGCCTGTATATAACGTGCCTTTTGCTCTTTAACCACTTCCAGGCCGGCCGTAGTAAAAAAACGGCCGGCCCGGAGCTCTCTAGATCTGAGCGGGCGTCTTTAGACCTCCGCTCAGAAACGGCTAGGTTGACATGTTTGGTGTCTATTTATCCAACGTGACCCTGACTTTTATATTTTACCAAAAAACTGGGTAATAATAAGTGTTTCCTAACATAATGTAAAAAAACACTTTTTTTTCCAAAAATTTCTTTAATTTTTCCTAATTATAGTAAAAAATAAAAACCCCAGTGGTGATTAAATACCACCAGAATAAAGCTCTATCTGTCCCCAAAAAATGGTATAAAATTCATTTCAGTACAGCGTTGCATGACGGAATAAATGTCAGTCAAAGTACCGCAGCTCTGAATACTGAAAAATGGCCTGGCCAGGAAGGGGGTCTAAACACCTGGTCTTGAAGTGGTTAATAAAAACTACTGATTATTGAAGTCATTTTTTTAGTGGACCTTTTTTTATGATATGGAACCATTCTGAAAATGTTAGCTGCTTTCTAGTGGCCGGGCGGTTCTGCTGCCGTAAAAAAAAAAAAATTAAATCCCCAAAGGAGAGCATAGCTAGATTCCTATTGGCTATTTCACTTTGCAAAAGCCAATTGAAAAACTAGCTATTGCACCCGCCCTCTGCTGCTGTCAATCACCTAACTGTGACCTGATGGAGAACTGCAGGTCCCCCTCTACTGATTGACAGCAGCAGTGGGCAGGTGCAATAGCTAGTTTGCTATTGGCTATTGCAAATTGAAATATCCAATAGGAATCTAGCTATGCTTGCCTATGGGGATTTTTCATTTTTCTTCTGAAGAAAAAAAAACGAGCAGGGAAAGGTTTACTCTACTCGATCAGCAGAGTGAACCTTTCTGTGAGAAAGTGTTTCTCTCCCGGGCGGCCGGGAGCCTATTAGACTCCCAGAGCGCCCAGATAAGAAATGACAGATGCGTTCCTGGTTACCGGGTAACCAGAAACGACATCTGTCATTACACACTGAGAACACGGAGAGGCCGCTCTCAGTGTGTAATGACAGTGTCCCTGGTTAGCTGGTAACGCTGATCTCTCTGCAAGGGGCTGGAGCCAGCCGTAAGATCACGGCTGGCTCCGCCAAGCTGTCAGAGGCAAGCTGTTGGCCGGCCATTCGGCCAGCTTCGGCTTTCAGCACAGCTCAATCGAGCCGAGGCATATTCCTTCAGCTCGCCTGAGCCGCTCTGCCTAATTCGGGAGCTGTACGGGCTACAGAGAATATCCCGTACAGCAGCCCTTCAGTTCTACTGAACCGAAGGGGTCCTGGGGCCGGCAGCTTTGTGAATAGACTCCACAGTGTAGTTAGTACATTCAGAGGTGTGTGTTAAAGCAGTCGAAATATGTATTTTTAATACTGTTGCACAAATTCGTTTCGGAAACACAACTAAATTGTAGTAATAGGTTTGTTAAAAAGTTTATTTTTGTGAATAGTTTAACAGTCTTTATAAAGTAGGTATCATGTAGACAAGCAATAGATGTAGCGGTATACGTTACAAAGTTGACCCACTAATGTGCAAAAAAATAAATATGCATGAAAAGAGATAATGATTATTAACCCTAATGGTCAAGAACACTTTACAGTTATTTCAGTTATTAGTCTATTAATAGCCAATAACTTTGTCATTACATAGTGACATTTTTTCTGGGGCCTCTCTGTGGGGCAGGAGGTAAATAGCAGAATGTCATCAGCAAAAAACAAGATCTTCACCTCCCCCCCCCATTAGGATACCCCAGATAGTCAATGTCTGCAGGCTATATCTAGTCAAAGGTTCCAGGGCTAGGTTGAAAAGCAGGGGGGACAATGGATAAAAAAGGAAAAAAATCACTATAGAGCTTTGCTGCTAGTGAAGTTACAATTGTTTACAGTGCAAGTCGGTGTCCTGTAGTAAGAGGCTGTAACAATGTAGTAAAGTGTTAAGGTGCCCACACACCTTGCGATCATACGATAGTCGCGGGGAATCCCGCGATCGTACGATAATCGCAAGGTGTGTGGAAGGCGTGCACCGTTTCTACTGTACAGTCACACGACTTTTGTCTTACGAACATGTTTGAAAACCAGCCGAGAAGCGTACGATTTTCGGCTGGTTTGTGGCATGCTCTTAAGATAATTGCCGCACGGGCCGGTGTGCGCAAGCGCACACTGCCCGTTCAGCATTGCAGATTATCACAAGTACGATCTGCCTGTCCAAGATGGGCAGATCGTAGGTTTCTTTAATGACCTTACAACCATCGCAAGACACAAGTCTTGCGATGGTTGTAAGGTCTATGGCCAGCTTTACACTTGCATTATGATAATGTTGTGGTTATTATTAGTCTGTGAAGCAGCTATTTTTAAACCATAGCACTGCTGCTTCCTGTCTGAAGATCTACTTGATCCAAAAAAGCAAAGAGGTTTATAGGGGATATTTGAAAATATTAAATAAATATGTTACTGGTACCATAACACTGTATATGAATAGTTCATACTTGTGGAGTTTTAAAATCATACTCACAAATTTACCAGGCAAGCCTGTTTAAAGAGCGGGATAGTTGAAGCTCAAATTACACACACAGCTGCATGAATCTGACAACTACAAGGGGGAAAACTACTGTTGTGCTCTCTCTTAAGACAACCCAGAATGCCCTATATACTATTTTAATTGTTTATATGTAAAACTATATATATATATATTTTTTTGTTTATAATTTAAAATAATTATTTATTATATTATAATTTATGATTTCGTGTTTCAAACTGTATCATACCCGTAATGTCTACTGGACTCTTGTTTGGACAGATTTAGGTGCGTTATTCCTAAGATTTACTAAGAATTACAGGCCTACAATATAAAACAACAAATTGCCATGAAAAACAATGTACCGCTTTGGCATGCTAAAACCCTGCATAATCATACCGCCAGGGAGGTTAAAGCAAAATCCTGGGCACTCTGTGAGAACACTGGGCACAATTTTTATTAACCCATGCAGTGTGTGTGCTCGTTTTTGGACATGTGCCCCGGCAAAAAAAAATTGTTTCATTTTGTTTTGATTCAGATTTTACGTTATTTCGTTTTTCGGGATTCGGGTCCGAAAGTCAATTCGTTCTGGCATTCAGACAAAATTATTTACCGGTAGTCTGGACGAAGTTTCATTTTCTTTTTGTATTTGTTTCGTTCATTTCATTGCAGCAAAGTGACATTACATTTATTCTCCGACTAACGTAAATTCATCCAAAAAACTAATTTTTCTGAAACAAATCGCACATGTCTAATCATTTTCATTTAGGGACTAAAATTAAAAAAAAGTTATCACCCGATCCTTGTTCATAGACCTTCCAGCCTTGCTCCTTGCATTTGTCTAAGGATACTCAAGTCATTACATCCAATACACTGTGTATTGAATGTGAGGAGATGGAGGGACATACCATCGCTACAGCGTAGGAGGGAGGGAAACTGGAGGGAGTGCTGTGACAACTAGCCAGCTCTGAGGCTCGGGTGAGTATAACTTTTTTATTTTAGTTCATAGACAAACATATGCAGTTACCCCTTGCAGTTAACCCTTGCAGTGCGAGGGTAGCTC